TATTTCATTAATGCACCATTTAATACTTAAACTATATTTAAAGTTCAAATTTTTATTATTATTTTATTGATTTAAAATTGAATCGTTATTCAAAAAGTAGGTAAGAATACAATCTAAATATCGAGTTGAATGTTAACATGGAACTGACTGAAAATATCTTTGTTATTCGTTTGTGATGTAAATCGATGTAATTATATTGCAAACTCTCATGTATCATGGTGCAAATAACTAGCAAGGACGGCTGCTTCCTACGATCTCACTTTGAGAACAACATCCCGCAGGTGTCTACACATTATATATTTCGATTAGAACTTTAAATCAATTCTTTGCTATGTTGAGATTTATTAAAAGCAATCTTTTTAGTTATCGATCCAGGGAACATTAATTTTACTAAACGATTTACGTTACACGAGTTTAACTCAAACAATTCATGCGCTTCGCGTATTAAGGCCCGATAAAGATTATTATTAAGTAAACCAAATAGAGCTCGTCATAAGTGTTTCGTTCATATTGCAAAAATTTAAGCAAGTCGTGCATGAATCTAGTTTGACCGCATATTCTTGATACACCGCTAGCGCAAACGCATTTTCATCTGATATATTATCGCGAAAGTGGTTCTCGCGCCACAACGATCATGCATTCCATAGTGAAATGATCATTAGATACGCAAAAACAAGATACGGCCAAGATTATAAGTCGTGACATTTACTGTCGAGTTTCTATTACTAACGCTCTTATAATATTGCAATACCGGAAGATATAAACAAGAATAAAGTAAACATATTTGTTTGATAATACGAGTAGTGTTCGTTCGTCTGCCAATGAAATGGCAGCAAAAACCCGCGAAATAAGGCTTGCGTCGAATGTCTTGAGAACTTCGTCTATGACGGAACTAGTAAATTGAAAAAAAACCTGACCTGTCCAGTAGCCTTTTTGTATCGGAGCGTTGCTTCCCGTACGAGGTCCCTGACTAAGAGGTCGCCAGCGCCACAAGGTACCAAAACCCGCACGGAACCAAAACACACCGTCACCTTCATACTGACACTACTCACTTTATGAATCACTAAAACTGCGCGCTCTGCGCTCACTACACATAGCAAGATCCATTTATTACTAACATATTAGTTTGTCTAAAAACTAATAGAAGCACAGCACTATCTGACGCACATGGCAAAGGTAGCCCTACGTCGAATTCGTTCACAAAGCACCGTTGAAACAAAAAGGGCCAAACCACAGGTTTCGTCGTAAGTTTTCATAGCGAATATAAAACGGCCGTTCGCACGAGATAATTTGAGCGATTTATTTGTTTGTATTATTAGTAGTCAGGTTCAGTAACGACATTCAACATCGAGCACATTTCGATAAGATTACGCGAAATACGGGCATAAAGCGCGCGATCAGCGACAGCAACGGTCATGACAAACGGTATGAGTAAAAATTCGTTTTGAAGTTTGTAGCGGGGCGAGGCGGGTGCGGCGGGGTAAGACCGGTTCCTGTTCGCAGCCAATCACCGGCGGCGTGGCGCGGGCAGCTGTGCGCCTGCGCAGAGACCGCGTGTGGAGGTGGCCGCGCCGTTCTGACGCGTCATACCTGCTCGCTGCCGCACTATGTGTATTTTATATTTCATTCACATACCAACCGCTATAAAAATTTAAATGAAAGCGTCCTTTGTAACACGTAACCGTCACCAGACAAATCGAACTATTAATGATTTTAATTATTTTTAAGAAATAGAGAGGACCTAAACTAGAAATAGTGAGAATACGTATGAGCGAGTATAAGTTGGGTAAATTGTACAAATCATTGTTGTCATGCCAACCGCCTAATTTCATAACAAATCGATAATAAAATGGGACATCTATGAAATCGTGTAAAATACATACGTGTTCTTACTTAAATATAATTCTCTCAAATATATCTGCAAATCTTGTTTTAAAATGTAATACTACTTCTATCTTTTCCCTTGTAGATTTCATTTCCGTTTGAATATCAGCATTAAAAGTAATACATACTTGATTCAGAATGTTGAAAACTACATCGTCAAAAACATAAGCTTTCACTATTTGAGCAGGTTTTGTTTAAATGAGCCACTGTACCAAAATTGTCTAGGACTAACAGAAGCTTGTGGTATTATGTTGCGATTCATAATATGGAATAAGAAGCATTAATTCTTAGTACATTATTCGCATGGTTTTAATAAATTTTCAAGCACTAAATAAATTCTTTTTTGTAATAAGGGAAGGAATCTAATGTGTTTTAATATTTTAATAAACGTAATCCTGATAGTCACTTCGTACGTGTCTGGCAATATTCAAGTAATTTTTATTTTTCTTGTCCTTTTTAAAAAATAAATAAAATAATTTGTCTTTGTATACAATAACTGTAGTTTAATTAGTGTTTTAAATAAATATGTTATCGTTTAAGAAATGTTAATGTCATAAATAAATACGTAAGAAGAAGTATCTCCTTCCTTACATCACGTCTTTAGATTTAGATTAGACATCAATACAAAGTTGTATAATAATGATGCAATGCTAACCGCCATGGAAGTGCGCTATGAGATTCCATGGTGTAGAATTCAAGGATAAAGTCATTTGTATGCGGTACACAACACCATAACCGACGAGTAGGTATCACATAGATCATAAACATTTAACTTTAAATTATTTGATACGTTCGAAAACATTTTAAAAGCTATAGAGCCAGTAAAGTTATCACAATTTTATAACTCCAATGTAATGGGAGAATTATTGTATGTTTAATTGATTTAAAAGAAAATTAAGCCTCTATTACGTAAAAGTTAAAAGTATATAATTTAATCTTTTCAAATATGGTTAGGTAGGGAGAGGAGCTTGGACAGTGGAGGCGAGCGTATAACGCGCGTTAGTTAAGGGGCCCCTTAAACCTACACTTGGGTCGCAAGTCCCAGGCACTGTTGAAGCTCCTCTCCCTGCAACGCGATGGACCCGGCACCCGCACGGTGAATCCATGGAATGCTGAGAAGTTTCGCCTCACTAGTGTTATATGTAGGTACTACAATTTTATGATTTTCTCGAATCTGAGTTTTTCATCTCAATTTATCTTGGAGACTATAGATGATTTAATCATTAAGTTATAAGTATAGGTTTAAGGAAATAAAATTAAACACATTTGAGGTTATGTAAATCACTTTAATAATGTGTAATTAATATTGCTTAGTTGAATTAAAATAAATAAAATATGTAAGTCTTAAATATGCAGCAATAATGTATAATATCTACAGAAAATAATTAATAAATAATGAGATATTTGGTTACCATTCAAAACTTATTTATATAGTATGAAAATGTTTGAAGAGTTTCAATTGACTGATATTTTTATCTAGATTATATTTTATAGAAACAGAACTATTTTTTTAATACCTAAACTATATTCATTCACATTTTTCCGTAATACATAAATAAAACGTTACGTATGATTTGAAAGTTACCAAATTGCTAAACAATTTGTACATTTAAGGTATTTCTACTTTATAATTTGTATTATCATCAACTACAGATTATAATATTTTTTTTTGTATATCGAAATTCGTTCATTATAACAATCAAAAGAGAAACATCAAGAAGACTTAAGAACTGAAAAACATATAATTTGTCAGATTAAATAAGAAATAGATAAGCATGTGCTTAAAACATTTGGCACTATACTTAAACATTTTAAAGAGAAAAATTTAAGTAATTAAAATACCGATTGCAAATAAGAGATCCCTTCCAAAAATAAGATATATCTTCACAGCATGATACACTAATTATGTTAGACGAGTGATTAACAATATTTACAAAGATCAACAACCCACTAGATTTCAGAGAGCACACTATCCAGATAATAAATAAAAACTATACATTGTCTTGATTAATGAAATGACGAATAATCAAATAAGAAATTGATGCTGAAACAAACAATTGAAATTAAGTACGTAATTTATAAACAAAATAAAGAATTTGAAGTATTGGGAAGTATTATATCCAATTAATTTTTTTAAACTTACAATAATAATCATGAAAATTGACGTATAATTTACTATTAATTTTATAATAGAATTTTTAATAAACCGGAGAATATTCTACAACAAATATTCTATACTGGGTCATATGGTTGTACTTTATTCTATGAACTATAAAATGTGAAGGTAACAACATTTTTTAAACATCTAAACGAACTTATACAAGAAACCTGTAGACTTTAAAAAGTATGTTGGTTAACGATCTCATTTTTTAAATTTTGATGATAAAATTGCTACAATCAATATACTTTCATAGGGAAATTACGTTCTAGTCCACAAACTACTCGAATATTTTTTTTTGGTTACGATTTGAAACACAGGAATATATGACGTGCGATAATATAAATAAATGAATAAATCGAATTCAGTGTGAAGTGACTAGATTCAAGACAAGGAAATTATTAAAATTTAAAATTACTATATAATGGTTTAGGTTAAACGAAAGATTTACAATATATCAGACGTACATAGACTGTGGTAACAATAGTTATATATTCAAATGCAGTATTAATACATTTCTATTCCAACCATTCCAGTTTCCAATCACGCATACAATAGATATCTCCAGTGACTTCAATAGAAATACAGTCCAGGGACCAGCCCTTACTCTAAACACTGATGTTAACAGATATTGGTCGGTCATAATGAAATAACGACATCTATCACAAGACAAACAACTAATAATTCTAAATCAGAGCACCTTATAATTGTAGAGATCACCGCGTACTTCTAGATGATTCGAGCATCCATTAAATGGCACTCGCGAATGTACAATGAATAATATACAGTGTATTTGTTTATTTATAGGTACATATTGACAATTTACATAATATAGAGAACACACGAGCATCGAACATTCAGGCACGTCAGCGGTTCATACAGCGGTAGAGCTAGATCGAGTCAGCAGTGGAACTACCAACTAAACGAAGAAATCGACGTTTGAACAGTTCGTAAATATTTAGACGTCGCTCTCGTCAGTGACGTGAGCGGGCTGGCCGAAGTTCCTTGTAATGGATTCGCTGACGGTGCGAATATTGGCGAGATAGCGGTGAGCCGGCTCGTCTGAATCATAGATGGCGCTGAGAGACTCAAGCGACACTAGCGCCTCGGAGTCGAGAAGACGAGAGGAGGCGCGGGAGGACACGTCATCGTCACGGTCCAAGTAGCAAGAGTTCACATCGCTGAGGGCCGCCTCCGCGTCAGTCAGTCCGGCCTCGTTCAACATGGATACATTCTCTAGTGCGGGGTCGTCAGTAGTATAACCCGTGCTCTCCGGCTGACCCCCGTCTCCCTCACCCTCTCCCTCCGAACATGATGAACTCCATTCTGACTGACTCTCCCCGTACATGCCCATTTCTCTATGATTGGTGGTAGCAATCTGTAGGAAAGCGGAATGCATGGTTACATATAGTAGTCCATCATATATTATTCTCGTTATAAATTAATACACCTTACCCGACTAAGTCTATCCTGTACTTCCTTCTCCTGTTTATCTTTGGAAGATGTCATCTCCGAACTTCTAGAACCTTGCACACTGTTAAATATGTTTCATTAGAATTTTCTTATGATTAAAAATGGTTATGGAGTTCTCACAAACAATAACGTTGATAAAATACATAACAATATATAAGGCTATATAACTTACCCGGTATTCTGTTCCGCTTTATGCGTAGGCGAAGGTAGTTCTACGATGACATCTGTGGGTAGGACTCCGGGGAAGTCCGCGGAGGGTTTGAGAGGGGAGGGTCGCGAGGGGGGAGGGCGCGGTCGGGCGGGACTCGGCTCACGACGAACCAGCTGAGTAATAGCCGCCAAACCAACCGCATGTAGTGGACTACTGTTATTATTGTTATTTCGAAGCTCCATTGAAGAATGAGGTGACCTGGAAGACGAGATATATATTAAGGAACATATGTTTATAATTTATAGTACACAGTATGAGGCAACAAAATATACCTTAATTCTAGTTTCAATTCCTTCCTCTCCGATTTGGGTGAATTTAATTTAATGAGATTTTTATCTTCGAGCAGTCTTTGAATCTCTCTTTCAAATGGCGGGACGCATGCCACATCCGATGGACTTCTTTTAGTGAATACTTCTCTGCTATCGTGATTCAAATGTTTCAAATTATTCGGTCTACTGCCTGAACTTGAGAATGAACTAGTTCTTTGGGTAAATCGATGAGGTACATCCTTCTTATCAGTCTGACTACAACTGTCTCTTTTAACGGATGCTTGAAGCATATTTATTATGCTTCTCTGCAATTTCTCCTCTTCTTTTTGAAAACCGAAGTTCCCGTCTAATATTTTATCGTCCAGTGACGGTTTTTTATTTAATTTATGTTTCGCATAAATTTCATTAATAAAGTTCGGAGTGGGTTTGTTTAAACGGACGGGTGGATAGTCGTATGAGGGGTTAGGATCATTTCGTTGAGGTCGATGAGGTGGCAGCCATGGGGTAGGTCGTGGAGGGGAAGGAGAGGCGTCAGTTGTTCGCGAATAACTTTCATCTGAGGAGCTAAGACTAGGGGAACGGGTAAGTGAACTCAATTCATCAGCAGAAGAGTGCACCCTCGGACTTCTGGCTAAAGGTAGGCTTTCACTAGACCGTGGTCTAGGAAGTCTCGCGGGAGGCCTTCTCTTATGTACGGCCGGAGGTCGCGTCTCTTGCGGTCTTGGCCAAGGTGGTACTAACGCTCTAGGAGGAGGCCAACGAGGATTTCCATTTATTCCATGAGGAGGCGGGGGAGGTGGTGTATCTTCGGACTCTTTATTCCTTCGCCCTTTGCTGCCTTTATGATTGTTGCCATTATGATAGCCATTGGATGGCAGCAGTGGTTCGTTCTCACCCGCTACCGAGGCTTCTCGAACGGGAGGGAGTCTAGATGGTTGAGTAGCCGTTCTTCGTGCTGAGTTTTGTAACATCGCTAGAGGTGTTGCTACGCCACCATAAGCTGTAGGTGGATTTTGTGGTTGACCATTAGACGGATTGTGCAGATTTCCGTTAGAAGGTGCTCTGTCAGTCAAGAAATAAGTAGTCATTTCGCCCTTTCCCTTGACTTTTACTTTTCCTCTGCATACAAATTGATAAGGCATGTCCTTCAACACCTGATATACCTCCTCGGTAACTTGAGTGTGGTTCGGTAGCCCAGTAGAATCCATCCGAGAGGCTACATTAACTGTATTACCCCAGATATCATACTGAGGTTTTCTAGCACCGATAACTCCAGCTACCACCGGTCCTACGTTTATACCTAATCAAAACAACGATTATTTATAACTTATTAAGCAATATTCTAATTCATAGTATAAATTTACTCACCAACACGAAGCATAAAATTATTGTAGGAATTGTCGTTTATATCTTTCAGTTTGTCTCTCATTGAGAACACAAATTCAACTAAGTTGGCCATATGTTTCCGTGTGCTCGCGTCGTCGGTCATTTTCTTGTCTGGTATGAGCCCGACAGCAGCCATGTAAGTCGATCCAACCGTTTTAATTTTATCAATGGCACCGAAACGATCTTCTCCTAATAACTGAAATACACAGAAACAGTTTATTATTTTTTCAAGTGCTATTTTGTTTATTCAAAAGGTAATATTTTGTTTTTTAAAATAGATTTTACGACAAATTATCAAGAAACAAGAAACTCTTGAGGTCTATAAAGTCATTGTATTCTTTGAATATTAATGAGACCATATTAATTGAAAACCCTTCTTGAATATATGATGATATAGTTTGAAAGGAACAGATAAAATTTGACAATATCTCAATTTTTTTTGGTTCCTACTAATATTTTTAAGGTTTCTATTTTAAATTTTTACCTCGTCGAAATCAGCTATGATCTCATTAAGGAGCCTTAAACACTCCATGCCTTGATTGTTTCCATCTAACTCCATGTAGAACTCATGGTAGTTGGTGATTGAAGCGAAGACCACTCCCACACGCTGATACGATTGATGGTACAGATCCTGTGAAGAAATAAATAAATAAAATAATACAAATAATAAATGTAAAATAAAAGATTATATAAATATCAATCGACAGGAAATAATAAACAATAAAATTATGCAATAAATATAATTAAACCTTAACGTATGATTCACTGTTTTTCTCGCATGCTATATTAATCGATTTGCATACGATTTCTTTCTAGAAAATATTGCGAGTATTTGTAATAATTGCTTACCATATTTGTTCTGAATTGGTTGTCCAAGAAATGCGTCGCAACGTGAGCTGGCAGTAAATTAAATAATATCCTTCTGTTCGATGCCTGAAAAGTAAGAATTTGGAAAGATTTAAAATTTGTCGTCATATTATACTTTCTATTTAAAACAAATTGTATGTTGTTATTTTTCAATACAACAACAGAATATTATCAATTATATTTAATTAGTTAAAGCAAATTAGAACAAATGGGTAATACCTAGTAATATGCGTTATTTTAGATAACAAAAGCGAATCAAGTTTGTCAAGTACAAACATAAAGTATATTATGTGTTTGATACTTCTGATTATTTCTTTAGACGGCTTATATGGATTTATTATATACAGATATGTTTTTGCATAACGGTATTTTTAAAGGAGCATAGTTATTATTATGTACATGTGAATTAAACAAAAGAATGATCTTGAGAATTAAACAAAAGTATGATACTTGGATAAGTTATTTGCTCGATGGATATTTCAGAGCAGATTCTGTGCTCTTGGTAACATCTCTAAGGGCGTAAATTCATATGATAGGTTATATACCTGCAATGCATCCATTTCTCTCTTTTCATCTCTCGCCTGGACCTGCCACAAGAAGTCAAGCCTGGCAGTCCACTCGGTCTGACGAGCGTGAAGCAACACGGCAAGCGCCAGCGCCACCGTCCACGCGCACGAAGAATATGACGATGATATTGGACCAGTACTGAAATGAAATAGCGTATTATGTTGAAACATTGTTTTATGTACATGGGACTTTTTATAGATATCTTATGAACATCTTGTTGAATTTGTTGTTTGCAAGTAATCATACTAATAACACCATATTCCATGGTGCATTTATGAAACCAATTTTAAGCTACGTAATCGTCCATATTTTGCAATTTTTTTTAAATAAGAACATTCCTGCAATTATACTCTCTCAATTTCTTCCGACACACATGTAACGTACCTGGGAAAGTAAAAAATACATTATGAGACAGTTAAAATTTTAATAACTTACTCCGTCATGAGATCGTAACAGTCGAAGAGGTCTCTATGAAATCCCAATATAACAGCTACGTATCCGGCTGTCATAACAGCTAGAAGTATTCCTTTCACCAAAATCGGTAAGCGTAGAAACACAGCCACGGTCAGCATACTGAGACAGCAACCAAGCGTTATATACAAAGGTATGGGACACGCTAAATGATCGTTACTACTCCATAGAGCAGCTGCGACATCGCCGGTAGCAGATCTTACTTCCTCCATCGTGGTCGTATTCTCTGATATCTTTTTACAAACTTCGATCTCACGGCACGTTATCTTAAAAGAAATATCAAGTAGTTACTTTAACATTAACACAGATATCTCAATCAAGAACCTCGGAAGATGAAAATATAACTTACGACGTTAACTTGTCCAACAGCGTAACCAAGAACGATGGTGAAAGTAGTTATAGCATTCCTGAGAGCGAAAGGTCTGGATACGTCGCAAGGTATGAGTCTCAGTCGAGCGGCAAGAGTAAGAGCCAGGACGGCGGCGGACCAAGCGAACGCTGTCACAAATAGGAGAAGAAGTATGGTGGTTCGAGGAAGTATTGCAGCTTGGAGCGCGCCTGCAGCGGCTAACGCTCCGAGGGCCGCACTAAGGGACCCCGCCCAACCACCGTCAGTTGAAGCCCGATACTATAATAAAGAATTCTTATATAACACTGGTTACTTGAGAATCAGATATAAATTCTCCTTATGAATTTCCTACTTGTGCTTCCTTGTCACTCCCTTCTTTGAAACAAAGCGTGAGGAGATGAACGTGGGTAGCCTTCTCGCGGTGCACGGATCTCGCGTCGATGGCTTGCGCGAGATACTTATTGACGCGGTTAGTGGGCTGGTGGTAAACAGACGAATGACGCTTTTTCAGCGGCCGCTTGAATTTCTCCGTTACCTTATTCTGTATAAAAACAAAAATACGTTAATAAGAGTTCTAAATATCGGCTCATGGAAGGTTTTAACACCGAGTGGGGGCTAGGACGTGTTCCATTTTATTATTGAGGAGCATTTAGGGGCCGGATAACATTTGGGACCCAGGACATGCTGACTCCATGCTCCACGTAAAATTCAAACTGACCTTATCAAATAAAATTCCGGAATCCGAAGCAGCATTACACAATTAGATAGCAAGGTAACAGATAAATATACATCGAGATTTTAAAATTAACACCATGAAAACAATAATTGCAATTAATTTTTTAAAAATAGAAACATAGTAATTCAATAGAAGTTTACACCAAATGAATATAGTATTTATAATATAATATAAAAGTATAATAATATATTTGTAGTTGTTAGAATGACTTCATGCAGGTTAAGTGGGCCATGCCATGCCATGCTCAGGTATTACTGGGATAGCGAGTGAAACACAATTCAGTGCGTCCGGTTTTATTCTCAGACAAAATTTAATAAAAACAATACCAAATAGTTTTACAATTTTGAAAGAAAATAAGTCCCAATAAGAGAAGTGATAGTGTAGGTATCGAGTGCGTGTCCATCATTGTCGCCCTATCGTTTTATAAAACAAAAAATTTGTGCCCAACATAAATATATTGCCTATGTCACTTTTGGGATACATCGTGTCCTGGTGAATGGTGGTAAACAACACATGAACAACACTTTTATCGAGGCTTACTGTTTCAGCGGGTAATTGTTGTGGACTTAATGTCCAAGAGCGGAACATCTGAAAAATAATGAGCAGTTCCCTGTTAGTGATTGGAACTAGGACGCTATGGGAATGAAAATTTTATTCATTATTCACTATAGGACACCTAGGCAGTGAAAGTTAACTCTGAAATTGCTTTATTGTTTCATAATCCACCTTTACATCGATGAAAAGTAACATAGTGCAATTTAATATATAAAATATCTGTATAACAATACATAATAATAAATACTAAGGACTCCTATATAAAATTGAGAAATTAGTGCAATGCAAAAAATCTTAAAATCCTCGCAAAATATTTTAATGGTGTAAGAAAGCACCTAATATTGAGATAAAAAAGCGGCAGATTTAGTTCGAAAACCACACTCAAAAAACCATACTAACTACTAGAAAACATTAAGCGAGGTTATCCGCAAATATAAAATGCATTTAACGAATGCATTTCATGTACAATGTTCGGAAGCACAGCTCAGGGTCAACAATATGACCTAAATAATCGATTTAGATTTACTGTAGCATTTGAATATATCCCCCCGTGACAGAATTGATATTGTAACGAAGCTGTGATATTTGATAGTGAGCTGCATTTGTATCATCAAGTGTGGTAATAGTTTACAAGTCATCATAAAAAAATCCCAACAGGCAAGGCGTTAAGCGATCGCTGGGTTCGATCGGAGCATGAATTAATTAAACCAAAAATCTTGCGTATTGAGAATAATGAACGCTGGATACACGGCCGCCGATCGATAATAAAAAATATTTTTATATGTGACGGGCGACCGTATATAGCAGCGGGTAAGAATGTAGTGATATTCGTTGCATGTAGGACCGTTGCGTGTGTGCGTAGGGCGTGGTGCTGCATGACGGCGTCGAAGGTGTGGTGGTGCGGGGCGTGGGCGGGGGCTGCGGGGGCTGCGGGGGCAGGGGGCGGGCCGCTCACGTGGTCGCCGCGCAGAGCAGCCAGCCGCAGCGCCTCCGCCGAGCCAGGCTCCGCGTGCAGCGCTCTCCGCAGGTCCAGCACCTGCCACACCACCCACATACCCAGCATTCGATAAACACCTCAACCTCTAGGTACAACGAACTTCAGTGCGTTTCACTTCTATCCGAGTCTATCCAAGTCGATCATCATACTGTGACTAAATACCAGCTTATGCTTCGTAAAGGTTACTAAGCTATTTTAAATAAACGGCGACTCAACTGCACTGTGTCATGTAGAGTGAGCTGAACGCCGTCGCATAGCCAGTGTCTTAAATCAGCAATTTACATGTACTGGAGACTATGATAGGATATGTGAAAGGGATTTTATCAAGTGAAGTCTTTTTATATATATTACCAACGATCACAACAGAGATTAAAACGACAACATCGAAGTAATATTTTTAAATATTATAATACATACGAAAATTAAGGAAAGGTACGTAATAATATATGTAGTATACCATAAAAATATTAAATATGATTACAAAAGAAACAGACTTACCTTCGAAGGAATCGCCAAGAATGTATTTATAACACTCGATTTAAAAAAAAATCAAACTGGGCATCAAAATAATGTTGGACATAGAACTCGTACTGTTAGACATGTCCAGATAAGATCGAAACAGATTTTAAAACGCTTACGTGCAAAAGACACTTGTAATAAAAGATAGATATTTTAAAATATAAGAAAAGTCATAATATTATTGGATATGAATATGCCGTCACAAGTACCTTCCTAGCAGCGTTTGCCTTTAGCTCCTGTGGCGAGGCGGCCATGTTCGAAAAGGGTACATCTACATTGAACTTGATAGAATGTAACAGCTGGACCACTACGTTGGAAACGTTCTTAAAAGACAGCTTGCGACGAGACCCTGAGCCCAAACCAACACCAGCAGACAGGCACATCTACAAATAAAAAAGATTATAACGAAAAACAAGTTTTATATAATTCTCACTGACTTCAATAATAGTGGTTCTCAATTCGGAGATGTTTTTATGTAAGTTTTTTTTAAATAGGTCCTGTAAAAGTATCTATCTTTAGTAAATTCCTATGATAGGAATCCTGTTACTTTATTTTGATGGTCTCTTGTAAGCTTTGTTAATTATGATAAAAGAATCTTATTTTAAATCCGTCTGCAAGTTACTTCCCCAGAGAACAACTACATACATATTATCTGAAGAGGTACATAGTCAATTACAACCGATTTTGAGGTTAATTTTCGAGTTATTTTTTTGTTGGAAGTCAGTTTTAACTATTCCTGAGAATCTTGATATCAAGTGTGAGAATAATCTACATACTTTTCTCCGTCGTGGAGGAGGGATGATGAAATACGTCTGTACGGAATGATCACGTAGATACGCGTTCCGACTGGCTCCATGGCCTGGTTCCACTTCGTAAGCGCCGCCGAGACATTCTAGAGTCGCTTGCGTTATATGAACTCGGCTGGAAAATAATACACCAATAAACGAATTGCATACATTGGCATCTAGATAATGCTTTTAATCCAATTTACCCCGGCTCCCCTCCGGCCTCCATATTGTTTGCGAGCGTGACGTCATTGGACCAAACATCGTACTGCCATTTCCGTAGACCAAGCACGCCGCAGAGCACCCGCCCAGTGTGAATACCAACTCGCATATTCAATTGGACGTCTGTCGCTTCCACCACAGAACTGGCAAACGAGAACATACAAACTTATTTCACGAAGTAATTGTATTAAGAAAAATAATATCAGTAAAAATATATGTAATATTGAGTGTATAAAAATGTATAATTAATAACGTTTCATTCGATAATCAGAATTCCGTTCTGATGATCGCGTAATTTAATAAAGAAACAACTCGATAAAAGTGGACGAGAGCCGGCCAAATCAATTTAAGGGAGAAGTCTCATGCCCATGAACTCGGGAGAGCCATGTCGCTAACGATGATAGACGATGATTGATTAAGTGAGTTCTTGCAAGCGTCTTTCAATTATTTTATATATTGACATGATTCAGATTATTAATATCATTTGGGTAAATAGAATTAGGAATTTACCCTCATTTTGACCTACATCTTTTGGATGGTCCGTTAAATTAAGACGAACCATAAAATTAATCACATGTTCATAAAATTTATAGTATTTATTAACTTTACGAACGCCTGAAATAACATTAATGTACCATTTGGTGCTCCACTTGGATTTAAAAACAATATAAATTTTTAAGAGATATTTCTATGAAACAGTACTTAATTTTAGAAATGAATGTTTTCACGTTTCCTATCTTTTATTACTGCGCGGGGGCGTTCATAAATTCTATGTCTTAACAATCTATGAACATTTAATATTTTTTACGATACCTCAGCCACTTAATGATATCTCCAAAATATTAACGACTTTTTAAGGATGTTCTTGTAGTCGTATATTTATATTTTAACGCTTCAATACGTAATTATGCAAAGGAGATACTCTCGTTAGATGACTAACAAGCAGAAGTTTCAGTTCCAGTGCATTACAACGATGTATAAGTAAGCTTACCTCAAGTTTGCACCGACAAACTACATACAAAACGTTACCGTATTAAAGTACTTCATTCAACGAGTAACGAGAAAAGCTTCGTATGTAGTGTAACAATGGAAACGTCTACAAAACATACAAAATACTTAAAATATTTCTTATAATCTTCACTGAAGGATATAATTAAAATTAATATTCCGTAATACGCAGTATTTCATGTAAAAATTCTGAAATACTTGCAATAATGTCGCCTCTTTAACTGAGGACCGTCGCTGTATAAATTAAATGTGGCGTAGATTATAGAAGAAAATTGTGATTAATATGAAGGCTCATATTTCTACATTATTTTCTTTTATTATTAGGAAAAATATATTACAAAAGAAAGTGTTTCCGTGGTAGAAACTTTATTCAGATATTATGTACTAGTGTTTTTTAAAAATAATATAAAAATGGATGTTACGAGTTCATACTAAAAATATTCCACAAATTTCTATTGCAATGAACTCCTGAATTTGTTTTAGTGAACAGAAAATTACCTAAGCTCTATCTTTATAAGCAATCGTGGTGTATTATTATTCTATTTAAATTTAACTCCATATTTTTAATATCAATTCTAATAAGCAGGTTTATGTCCAAAGAGATATTATTTTCATTGTTAAGTTGCAGGCTCCGCGAGCTTGCTTTGTGTAGAGTAAATATTTATTTAATAAATTATGGTTCCTGAAGACTGAAGAAGGGTATAAGAATAAACTTTGTTTGTATTTTTTTTTTAATATAAGCTTATAACCACCCTTTAAACAGAACAAAATGAAAGATAAATGTAACCGTAGCATATTAATATATTAATCTTCTAATTTCTAAGTTTACTCAATATAAATCGATGTCTACACATCAGCAAACATGTATCCTTATAGTTGAATGACTTTAAAACAACTAAAATTGTTTATTCATAAATCAAATTGTGCTATTTCTGGAACGTCGTTACAACGGGTGATGATAGCACATCTTAGAGTGAGAATACATTTGGGAGCCAATTTCGGTCTATTATTATGTACGCGTCAGTCAATATGCCACTGAATATGTGACAAGTGCCAATAAGGGCGTTATACATCAGTACCACGATATTGAAGTCGTTAGTATCACGACACAATGTCTACTATAAGTTACGCCCATACTATTTATTTTATATTACAGTTAAAATTTTACGATATTTTTAGCTGCAGCCTCGTTATTGAAAAAATATCTTATCGTCTAAATTGTTTCCATGTTTATATTTTTTATAAAAATATTATGAGGATGTTCCATTGAAGTTGACAACAAATTTAAAACCATTTGCCAGTTATAAATGCGTCGTTAAATACTTTGTCTATATTGTGGTTGGTAATGGTAACCACCACAGCAATGTAATATTACCTAATTAATAACAGTTTTAATATTTAGATCTATTTTATCAGATCCATAAATAGAAAAACCTATATATTTTAAAGCGTTATAAAAATGTTTGTTCTGTAAAGTTTTCATGACATTTTGTCATGAACTGACGGGTTGAAGGAATTAAAAACATGAAAATAAAAATACCATATGACGTGTTAAAGACAGGTAAAATACTTTTAATAATAAACCTCTTGATTACAGACATTATACATTGAGTTGGAAATAATGTTAAGTTGTTGGAGTTATTAATTCCATATAAGGTAAATAAAGGTTTTTAAGAAATTGTATGTAAAATTTAGAAGCTTTTATGACTTTATATAGTTTAAACCAACGAGTAGGTACTAAAGAGAGCAACTTGCATAAGAGTCTTAAGCTCTTACTGGGCCAACGACTGCCGTCTTTTTCTTACAAATGTCCTATCCACTATCCTTTCTTTCAAAACATGTTTGTATTTTTCACAAATTAGTTCTGTTTCTTTTAAAATTATTAAAAAAAATCTTAAACTAATCTTTCTCTTGATTTTATCTTTTATCACAGAAAAAAGTATCATTTTTCATATCCTTAAAATGCAAACTATAATTTTCAGGAATATTTAGAAAATGAAACATAAATAAATCTTATTTCTTTCGTCCCTTCTATTTATATGATCGACAATGTAATAAACAAGTAATGCTTGTTACACCTCGACTGTTTAGAGCATGATATGACTTGCAGTCGTCCGTAGCTCTAGCCATTTCAACCTTAACATTCATATCAGACATATTGCTATTTACCAGCAGAGTGTCTTAATCCAAATTTTCTTAAAAAGTAAATCTTTTAAAGGAATTAGGAGACATGAAAAGTTTTGGGTACGAAGATGATTATCGCGAGGGATATTGTATAAGGATTTCATCATCTCGGGAAACTGGGGCCGTGACTGAAACCTAATCTGTCATCTAATAAATTAACTCTATATATACAGATACTCTAATTAGAGATGAAATTAATGAAAATAATTTTGATGAATTTTTGTCACCTTTAGAAACCAAAAACTAAAAGAAACATTTTATATATAAAATGCACAGTAAATATAATTATTCTAGAAACAATGTTGAAATTATAACTATTTATGGCGTTAAATAAAAGATAGATTTAATAATTTTCATAATATAATCCCAGGCGGAACGTTCGCAAAAACACGTCTATTTTAAAAGTAGGGCACATCCTGACGGCTTAGTAAATACGATCTGAAAGCAGCGAAGTGTTATGAATGAAATTCATTCAACCCGCAACAGCCTACTGGACGAAACTGAACTTATGTATTCGCTTTTATTTTAATGTATAAAGTTATTCAATATCCAATCCTAATATTACGAAAGCAAATCTTTGTTAAGATGGAAGAATGTTTGTATCTCTTAGACCACTGATTTCATTAATTAATTTATTTAAAACGTTTGATTTAAATCAAATTTTGTACTAATTCTATTTTATTTAATCTTAGAAATCCTTGAATTGTGTGTTATTCTTCGTAGCAGCTAATAACATTCTATAAACTTTGCAAAAAGATATTAGAATGCTTAATATTTTTTTATATCTGAAATTACCAACTATACGATATTATTTCAATATATATGAACAAATAAAAGAAATACAATCCACAAAATGTGCTGTCCAATTCCAGTTTACATAAAAAAGACTAGTAACACAAAAAAATAAAACGAAATTTGTTTTCACACCGTCGCCACCGATGTTCCGAAAGCTCAAACGGGATAAGAAAATAAATAAAACAGCAATGGATTGTAAACAAAGATAAAAACACCCGAAGATATATACAGAGGTTCGTAAATGTAGTCGACATTTGTAACTTTATTTACACAAAGTCATTAAAAGTTTATTACTTTTTTCTATATCCAAGTAATGTCACTAATGTTAGAACATTAAACTCACACACTACACTAAATAATTAACTTGTCGACAGGCTTGAGTATAGAGTACGGTTTAATGGATTGAAGGAAAGGAATAATCTTGTGTATACATGTGATTCCTCTTGATAATTAAATGTAAATGTTTGTATCAATGGCAAAGCACAAAGCGGGTTACAAAGGGTCCCATCACAAACCATACACAAATGTATCACACAGAGCAACTGTTCCCAATGCAGTACTTTGTTTATTTTGTTCCCATATTGTATTCTGATAGGCAAAGCGCATCACGTCAATAATATGTCAACAAATTTTGGAATACGATTGAAATTCGGGGCTTCATTGGATAAGCGGGAACTGATTTATGCTATGAAGAGACGCATATATATGTATATATAATTATATATTGGTTGGTGTGGACATATTGAAACCATTAAGTTACTATGACACGAGCGATGTGTCTTATCTTTTTAATCACACATTATTAGTTCCTACCGCACATAACTGTTGAAAAACAAGTGTAATTAACGCGCATGTTATAATTTAATACAGGTTTACATGTGTGCCACTTGTTGGTACTTAGGAGATAAACACTAAAACTGTTCTGAGTACTCCATTCCGTTAATATAAACTGTAGTAATTATATAGTAATACTATTAATATACTTCACATTTATTATGTAATACTAAAACGGTAAAAACAGGAACATGAAAGTAATACAGTTTTATGTTTCTGTATATAAATAAAATAAAATTCTCAAATATCCTCAAAAAGTTAAAATAAAAAATTTCAATTTGTTTATCCGATTTGTGTTTGAAATTTTCAAACAATTGCTGAG